AGATGAAATCCGTGTTAAACATCCTTCCCTTTCTCCACTAAAATGCAGTAGAGGGCCTCCCCGGTGGCGCAGCGGTTGAGCGCTGGGTTGCGAAGCTGCCGGCGACCTCTGCGGCGCAGCGGTTCGATCCCCAGCTGCTCCCCGGCCACACCGGAGGAGGGTCCCACATGGCGCACAGACCTCTCCTGCCGCCCGCTGCTCCCCTCAGCAGTGTACTTCGGTCCTTCTGCCTGCTCTGCTCCCCGCTCTGGCTCTGGTGAATTCTCTCACCCTCCCGCGCTTCTGACTGTACCCAGTGCATGTACAAACCAAACAAAAAAAACAAACAAATAAATAAAAAAAAAAAAAAAATGCAGTAGAGACAGGATTTTCAAAAACCTCTGTTCCCAAATGTTTTGTCCTATCCTATCTCTGATCTCCTTTAACAGAGGACCATATGTCCTCATGTCTGCCCTCATTAAATGGTGCCCTCAGCTAACTGCAGGGAGGAACAGCTGGGGTACCTCAGAAAAGAAATGTGAGTCCTGGTAACCAGGACACAGGAGAGATCTCAGTTAGCACTTTATTAGCAAGTTGCAACACATTTCCTTCCAAAGTTATGACTAGATGTTCACATCTTGGGGAGGGGGGAAGGGTTGCTTCTTAAGATAACTTATCCCAATCAAGACTGCGGTACTAGCATAAGAACAACTATATAGATCAAGTATATAGTATGCCACTTATATTTCAAAAAGGCTGTTATCAAAAAACTTTTTTTTAAAATATACTTTTTTTTTATTTGTTTATTTTTTTTTATTTTATTTATACAAGCACTAGGTACAGTCAGAAGCGCGGGAGGGTGAGAGAATTCACCAGAGCCAGAGCAGGGAGCAGAGCAGGCAGAAGGACCGAAGTACACTGCTGAGGGGAGCAGCGGGCGGCAGGAGAGGTCTGCGTGCCATGTGGGACCCTCCTCTGGTGGCCGGGGAGCAGCCGGGGATTGAACCGGCACTGCAGAGGCTGCGGGCAGCTTCGTAACCCAGCGCTCAATCGCTGCGCCACCAGGGGAGGCCCTCAAAAAACTTTCTTAAAGATGACAAAAAGAGGCCTCCCGGGCAGCTCAACCTATGAGGCTGTTCATAGCCACTGCAGCAAGAGTTGGATCTCCGGCCAGGGAACTACCCACATGGTGCAGCAAACCTCTCCTGCCTCCCCTGCTGCTCCCCTCAGCAGTGTATTTCAGTCAATCCAAATCCTGTAAAGTTTCTTCCCAATAGAACAATGTCATAAAATATTAGAATGTCAGATACTTATATATTAATGTGACGAGGATAAGACTTATGGTTCGTTGACTACACAGTTAGCAAAAACAAGTTAAATGAACAAGTTTCTTAAAGACATCTCATTTTTAATAAGACTTTTTAATACACACATTTGTTTGCTCCTGAAAATTGAAATTGCAAATCAAAAACCATTACAATTCAAATTTTTGAAAACCAGGAACTCAAAAAAAAAACCAAAACCAAAAAACCACAAAACAAAAATACAAACCAGGAATTCTAGGTAGAACCTCTTACCCTAATTATATCCTAGCCAAAACACCAAATAATTGTTTTTATTGACTCAGACCTTCTAAAATACTCAAGCAACTGTAGTGCTTCTTTGAGTGAGATTTAAAAAAAAGAACTGGAACTAAAGTATATTTGAAGTCACTAAATGCAAGCTGTTAAGATTCCTTTTAAGTTACTGGAATCAAGTTAGATGCAAGAAAAAAAGACATCATAGAACTTCTATCACAGGTTAACAAAATACTGGCATATAGTCCATCAGAGCATAAGTAATGTTCCCAAACTGCTGCATAATGATCCTAAAATAATCATCAAGAAAAAGCAGTACAATTAAATGTGATTAGGACTAAATTGAATCAGTGTCAGAATTCTTCTCCATGGTTGTCTTCTCCTCGGGAAACTCTCTGTGATATAGGCAATAATGACAGCTACACTGAAATTTTTTTATCCTTTTTTCAATCTGAAAAAAAAAAAAAAAAAAGAATTGGGTCAATAATTTAATGAAATGGATCATACCTTCAAGGAGATATAACAGCCCTCAATGCTAATGTTGGTTATTAAACCAACTAAAAAAAGGGCAAAACCAAAACATTTTTCTGGGGTGGAGCGGGCAGGGAGAGGAAAATTATAGTATTATAATATTCGGGGTGGGGAGGGGAGTCGGGGGGATGACCTCCCTGATGGTACAAGGTGTTAAGATGCAGTACTATGAGGTTACCCGCAGCCATTGCAGCACGAGTTGAGGGGATCTCTGGCAGCTCCAGAGGTGTGGGGGGTTGAGAGGATTCACCAGAAACAGTCAGGAACAGAGAAGGCAGACTGACTGAAATACATTGCTGAGGGGAGCAGCAGTGAGACAGGAGAGGTCTGCTGCGCCATGTGGGTCAGCTACCTGGCCGGCCGGAGGATTGAACTTGTGCTGCAGAGGCTACAGACAGCTTCATAGGTTGTATCTTAACCCCTTATGCCAACAGGGAGGCCCATAAATTAATCCTTTTTTTTTAAAAAAAAAGAAAATGTTAATCAACATTACTTTGTTTAAAATACATGGGTATCAAAGAATGCCAGATTGTGTTATTTTTGTAATAGCAACAGTGGCTGATTATCAATAAAAATGTATTTTAGGGCCTCCCCTGGTGGCACAGCGCTTGAGCTCTGGGCTACGAAGCTGCCCGCAGCCTCTGCAGCGCCGGTTCGATCCCCGACTGCCAGTGAGGGTCCCACGTGGCGCGCAGACCTCTCCTGCAGCGCCTGCTACTCCCCTCAGCAGTGTATTTCGTCTGTCTACCTGTTCTGCTCCCCGCTCTGGCTCTGGTGAATTTCCTCACCCTCCTGCGCTTCTGACTGTACCCCAGTGCTTGTATAAATAAATCAATAAATCTTAAAAAAAATTAATCTTAAAAAAAAATGCATTTTAGTGTCATTTCCCTGAATGTCATAATCAGGAGTTGACTCATTCAGCTGCTGGCCACTCTGTTCAGGTGTTTGTCCTCTTTCTAATAGTATCATGAAGATTGTGTTTGTTATAGCACATGAAAAAGTCCAAACACAAACAAGACAACCTTAATGGAAACTACAAATTTCCAGGTGAGGGTGTGTCAATGTAAGTCACCAACTGGAACTAACACTCTGGTGTGGGATGCTAATTAGTGGGAGGGTGGAGTGTGTAGGGTGGGGGAATATAGGGGAACCCTGCACTCAATTTCCCCAATTTTGTTGTGAATCTAAAAAAGCAGTTTAACAAACTGACTTAACTCCAGAGATCCAGCAAGTCCAAGCCCTCTCCTCTCCAAAAGTATCGACCAAACAAAAGGAAAACAAACCTGACACCAACCCACGAGTGTAGTCAAAAAAATGTTTTATTTACCTCCATTTCCTTCCTCCGTATTTCTTCCTGCAGCTTCATGGAAAGAAAAATAAAATATTGAGAACAATTAAGAAAGAGTTAAAATACTAATATTACACCTCTAGTACTTGAGAGGAGTTGGAGAATCTTCAAAATGCCTGCCCACACCAACTTACCAGAGAAAATCGGTTAAGATATTGGTATCTGATTTTTACCATCCTTTCCCTCAGTTCTTTCCTCACAGACAGCAGTGTCCTTACTCCCCGCCTCTTGTAGGGTGTGCCCTGTAGGGTATTTTCTTGATTCTGCTGTTGGGATGGATATTCTGGTAGAGGGGATGGAAGTGTGATATTAGGGTTGAGAGTCAAGTTACTGAGATTCTTTATTAATCCTTCTGAGACGGGTTGAGAAGTAGCTGAAAGAAAAGTGAAAATGAAGATCCATTAAGGGGGATTGTATTTTGCAGAAGTTACCCCCCTCATATTTGGTCAGTCTGCTCTCAAGCCAGAGAACCACAACGGGTTCTTCTTTAGGTGCCAGATCATTTATATGACAGCATGAACCTCACCTACTGTGCTCCCAAAAGCCACTATGATGGCTAATGGTCCACTGTCCAAAAAAACAAACAAAACCTCTTCTTGTAATCACTTGCTTCAATATTAGAGATTCCCCCACCACCTCCTGGTCAAAAGGTACCGGGGAGTAGAGTATGTACCAAATGGGAAAACAATGGGCAGAAAATTTGAGGACATAAAGCATTACAATACAAGTCAAAATGTTCTGGTGAACAAATTTTAGTTTATCTTTATGACAATTATAAACAGACCGGTTAGTTTCTTTTGCAGGGGGGCAGGAGGGCGACAAAAAACATCAACAACGCAGCCTATGACAGACAAAGAAAGAAAAAAACTCAAAATTCAAGTCTCCCCCAAAGTTGCATTGGTAAGCAGAACTAGGACAGGAAGAAGTTATCATCCTCTGCAGCTAAACTGAGCTTTTTCATGGTATCAGATCTTTCTGTTCAAACTCAGTATTTTTGGAAATCGAACACTCACTTTTGCCTCTTCCTATCCCAACTATTATGCATAAACACACACCTCCTACACTAAGACAGTTAACATTATTTTTTCCCTGTGTGTGAAAGTATTCAATTAAGTCAGTATCCATTCAGCTTCTAGGACTTTGATCCCTGGTTGTGGAATCGTCAGACACATCAAAGGAAAAGCACAAAAACCTTGGACACACCCAAGGTTTATTATAAAAATATTCTCTTCATTAATTCCCTCCACCTTCATTCTCTTTTATCTATCGACCAGGGTTCCTTCCTCAACCTGCCTGTACTGTGGCCGATGGGATGCAATGCAGCTGACGCAGCTTCACAGCCTTCCACTGGGTAGTTGGGGCTGTGGGCTCCAGACCACCCAAGCAGCACCCTACACCACCCAACCCTGCCATTAACCAGGGGTTCAAACATGGCGATTGGTTCAGAGCAAACCCCAAACTGGCTTAGACTCTAAGAAATCCACAGAACCGAGGCAATATTTTTGGCGCGCATTTTCTAAAAAAAAGCAGCCCTCCAGCTTACACCCTGCAAATTTACATTATAGAGAACATTCACTGGCTTTTATGAAACTACCCCCTTCCTTCAATTTCCTCTGAAGAGCCATTTCCCCATTTATTAACATTCCTAAAGGGTAAATTTCGCTGAAAAGCCACCCCCAGAAGTTGGGCGAGATTAAGAAAGCCTTTAGGTGAAATTGAACTTCAGATCTCTTGTCTTTTGTCCCTTTCTAACTTTCTTGGTGGATAGGGGAAAAACTGATCGCAGATGCTCTGAGCCAAGTTCTGGGGGGAATTTCAGTTGCTTTCTCCCACAAACTGGATTTAAGAGATCCAAGTATTCCCGAGCATAGTAAGCAAATAATACAATCCCCCACCCCTCGTTTTTCCCCCTTATCGATTGAGAAATCATTTTATTTTTAATTGGAAGGACCAACAAGTCCTGGCCCTTCTTTTCTTGCTTTTTACAAGACTGAAGTCAAAAATATAAAGAAGCAAGCATTAAAAAGAAAAAAAAAGACTGCCATCAATATAAGAAAGGAAGGGAGCCTCTTCACTCTTCCCGAACCCCTACTCAAGGAGGCACCCTCTAGCTTACCTGAATCTTCCTGGGAACTGTCTTCAGTGCACATCTGAAAAGACTCAGGGCTCAAGGTTGGGTTCAAACTCTTTGAGGAGTCCATTGGAAGTCTGGTCACAGCTTGAAGCTCCTCCAAGATCTTTGGGTTTGGGCGGAAGGTGATGTTCAAATTACAGCACAGACCCTGGAAAAACAACTAGAGAGTCCAGAAAAGAAGAAAAACCTGAGCTCCAACAAAGCGTGGTGAAGAAAGGAATTAACATCAAAATTTCCGTCCTGTCCTCCAGAACTCCAGAAAAGCCAATCTGCCGCCTATTTTAATGTAAATGACTAATGATTAAAGGGATTAAGGTGAGTGGGCGTAGACCTATCCGTGAATTAATAGGCTAACTCCTCATCTGCTCTGCATTAAAATAATCAAGACTTCGTCAAGTCCATTGGAAAAATTTATGAAGCACGCCTCAAGGATTGTGTCTTCATAAGGTTACCTTAAAATTCCATTTCCCCCCAAACTCTATGTGTGGAGATGGATAATGATTTGTGAACTGCGCTTTAGGTGTTTTAGAGCAGTGAGGGTGCTCCCCCCAAATTCAGATGAATTTCCAATTACCTGAGAAAGTTTCCCTGCTTTACTTTGTGAACTAGTAAAAACAGGAGACATAAAGCGCTAGCAACAGTTTAATAGCTTGATACACTTAAGGATGTGTATTTTGCAGCTGTAGTTTTAGTTTGTTTTATAGACTGTCTATTTAATTGCATTTAACATTTGGGAGTAACTGAAAGCTAAGTTTATACACTGCTACCTTCAGATATCTCAGTATCTCAGTATCTCAGTCAGATACTTGAATGAATTCTAGCAAAGAGCCAGACATTAACTGCTGATTATCTGCAGGAGGTGGGAGAACCTGTCTCCAACCGCCCCACCCTTTGTTTTACCCATCTCCTATTCAATGCCCAATCTCCCCCATTCTCCCTTTAGTTGGAAACTAGGAAGAAGTACTCCAAAGCAATCTTGTTTTACTTTTAGTAAAAAAGCAAAAACAGAAGTATTGGTAGGGGGTGAGGAGAAGCCATAAATCTTTGCCCTGTTACAACACTTTATTCCATTGGTTCTCAAAGGTATGGCCTCCAAGCAGCATCTGTAGCATCTGGGAACTAGTTAGATAAGAAAAAAATGTGTGGAACTCCAAACAAGACCCACAGAATCAAAGACCCGGGGTCCTGCCATCCTGTGTAAACAAACTTCCCAGGTGATTCAGATCCAGGCTGAGATTGAAGAAGCCTGGCTTGGAGGCACACTTAACTTCTTCCTCCTGCCCTGGGAGCCTTTCCTGGAGCAGACCCTGAGAATTCCATTATGAAAGGCCAGGGCAGGGACCTCCCCAGTGGCGCAGCGGTTAAGCGCTGGGTTGCGAAGCTGCCCGCAGCCTCTGCAGGACCAGTTCGATCCCCGGCCGCGTGGGCGAGGGTCCCACATGGCGCACATACCTCTGCCGCCCGCTGCTCCCCCCAGCAGGGTACCTCGGTTCCTCTGCCTGTTCTGCTCCCCACTCTGGCTCTAGTGAATTCTCTCACCCTCCCGCACTTCTGACTGTACCCAGTGCTTCTATAAATAAATAAATCTTTAAAAAGAAAGGCTAGGGCAAAAACCAGATTGCAACGAGACACAGACTCTCATTCAAGAAACCGGGTTGAGCGCAGCGCTGGGAAGCTGTCTGCAGCCTCTCTGCAGCATGGGTTCAATTCACCGTTGGCCAGGGAGATGCCCACATGGCACAGTAGACCTCTCCTGTCTTGCCTGCTGCTCCCCTCAACAGTATATACTTCAGTCCGTCTGCCTGTTCTGCTCCCCGCTCTGTCTCTGGTGAATTCTCTCCCCCTCCCGTGCCTCTGGCCTGTACCCTAGTTCTTGTGTAAAAATAAATAAATCTTTAAAAACAAAACAAGAAACCAGGGCTTAAGAAAGAAAAGTGAGGAATTTAACTTGCAGAAGTTGAGCCCCAAACTAGAGAAAGTGAAAATACTGAGAGAATTGAGAAAGCATAATCCCTAAATATGTTCAAAAGATAAGATTAAAAATCTAAAAATAATTTCACGCTTTTTATGATATATATGCTTTATATGATATGGAGTATGAGATTAAAAGCCAAACAGAATGAAGGAACTTGAAAAAACAGACTAAAAGATTAAGTTTAGAAAACTACTATTAATTTCTTCAAAGGTAAGAAATGATATATTACTTGTATACAGGATGCGCTTGAAACAGTGGAAACTCAGCCAAAAAAAAAAAAAAAAAGAGTACCTGGAAATTGGGCCTCCCTGGTGGTCCAAGGGGTTAAGTCTCAGCACTATCAAGCTATCTCCAGCCACTGCACCACAAGTTCAATCCCCATCCAGGGAGCTGACCCAAATGGGCAGCAGACCTCTCCTGTCTCGCCCACTGCTCCCCTCAGCAGTGTATTTCAGTAGATCTGCCTGTTCTGGTCCCCACTCTGTCTTGTGAATATCCACATCCCCCCTCCCCCCAACCTCTGGCCTGCATCCCAGTTCTTATATGCATACATGAATAAAGATAAGTCTTAAAAAAAAAAACAACTTGTAAATTCTGCCACTAGTTTTGAAACAACAAAAATAAACTTGGAGCTTCTAAATCTCAACAGAAGTCATACAGTTTAGTTCAAAGAGTAAATGTCAGGAAGGACATCTTTTTAATGACCTTTTGAATACTTTCAAGAATTTGTTATCTAAGAATGCAAGTCTTACAAAACATTGGTATCCACATCAATAAACTGACCTTACCAGTTCTTATCAGCTGCAAATTATACCTTTGCAGGAAAGGAAAACTATCTTGCTTTCTTTACTCTAGGCTAGAGGTTAAGGATTAGTCTTTTAGATAAGACAATTTAGACATTGAAGCATTTATTTTTTTTTAATCCTTGCCTTTGGGGAAAATCAAGAAAATAGGCTATTCTGATTACAACATCTTCTGAGCATATCAGTTTATAGAATAAAGCTAGCAATTTCCCTTGTTGTTGTTGTTGCTTTTGGCTTTTCACTATTTATGAAAAATATTCACATTCCTGATCTCCCCTTCAGAAGTTCCTTGAGACTATGTTTGGGTCTTGGCCAGTCCATCTGACAAGCCCATCATGCTAATGGCCCTGCAGCCCTGGTAGGTTTTAAACTGGCCTTTGAGCCTGCCTGTCACCTTGTCAATGTCCTCCACTCCTCGTCCTTCTGGATGGTCCCCTGGTCCTGAGTGTGGATCACGTGGTTGGTTGCTGGAGAAGCGTTTCCTCCGCTTGTTCAGGTCCACCAAATCACTTCTAGCCTTCTTCAAAGTGAGGATGCCCCAGCTGCCCCCACCACGAGCAGAGAGACTGCTTCTTTGAGAAGAATGAAAGGGCTTCGTTTTTAAATTCACCTTAATTCTCCAAGAGAACATGAAAATGCCAAGTCATCCTGGTCAATGATTCTCAGACTGTGACTTAAAATAAAACAATAGCATTTTGGGGCCTCCCTGGTGGCACAAAGGGTTAAGACAATACCTATGAAGCTGTCCGCAGCCGCTGCAACGTGAGTTCAATCCCTGGCCAGGGAGCTAACCACATGGCTCAGCAGACCTCCCCTCTCTGGGCTGCTGCTCCCCTCAGCAGTATATTTCAGTCAATCTGCTGTTCTGCTCCCCACTATGTCTCTGGTGAATACTCTTACCCCACCCCCCACCTCTGGCCTGTACCCCAGGCCTTGTATGCATAAAGAAATAAATATTAAAAAAAAAAAAAGAGTATTAATGAAAAAAACACTACCATTTAATCTCACCATCATTTCATGAAATATATATTAGGGTCCTCCCTGGTGGTGCGAGCGGTTCAAGTGTCAGCACTATGAAGCTATCCGCAGCCTCTGCAGCATGAGTTTGATCCCTGACCAGGGAGGTGACCCACATGGGGATCGAAGATCTACTAACAGTACATCCCCCACCACATGCACCACACACCGCTTCACCAATACTGTTTTTGTCTTCTTAATCCATAAGAAAAAACGTATGATTGTTTTTCATTTAAATGTATTGCAGGGGCCTCCCTGGTGGCACAAGGGGTTAAGCACCACACTATGAAACAATCCGCAGACTCTGCAGCACAAGTTCAATCCTCGGCTGGCCAGGGAGCTACCCACATGGCTAGGCAGACCTCTCTTTTCTTGCCTGCTGCTCCCTTCAGCAGTGTATTGCAGTCAGTCTGCCTGTTCTGCTCCCCACTCTGTCTGTGGTGGATCCTTTCACCCCCTGCATCTCTGGCCTGTACCCCAGTTGTTGGATGCATAAATAAATAGACAGGCAATAGATAAGGTGATTTAGATGATCTGATGGGTAGTAACTGAGATAGCTAAAACTCATAAAAAGCAACAGAGGGCTTTTTAATTTTATTTACAACTTGGAACAAATAATTTGCTTACCATTTGGACCAAGACCTGACATGTGTATTTGTGGAAATCAGGTCTGTCTGGCATAGTCAAGAATCGGGCTTGGGGATAGGGGGTTTGGGGGTGGTGGGATGATTCACCAGAGACAGAGTGGGGAAGCAGAACAGGCAGATCTACTGAAATACACTGCTGAGGGGAGCAGTGGACGAGTTGAGTCAGGAGAGGTCTGCTCTGCCATGTGGGTGAGCTCCCTGGCCAGGCATTGAACTCATGCTGCATGCTGCAGTGGCTGCTGCTATCTTCATAGTGCTGAGACTTAAACCCTTTGCTACCAGGGAGGCCCTGTAGATGTTATTTTTTTTTTTTTTTTTTAATTTTTTTATAGAGGCATGTTTTATTTATTTATTTATTTTTTTGTTTGTTTGTTTTGTTTATACATGCACTGGGTACAGTCAGAAGCGCGGGAGGGTGAGAGAATTCACCAGAGCCAGAGCGGGGAGCAGAGCAGGCAGAAGGACCGAAGTACACTGCTGAGGGGAGCAGCGGGCGGCAGGAGAGGTCTGCGCGCCATGTGGGACCCTCCTCTGGTGGCCGGGGAGCAGCCGGGGATCGAACCGGCGCTACAGAGGCCGCGGGCAGCTTCGCAACCAGCGCTCAACCACTGCGCCACCGGGGAGGCCCTAGATGTTATTTTTTAACTTTGTTTTGTTTTGTTTTCAGTAGGAAGGTGATGTGAATGTCAATGTGGGGAAGTTTAATTAGGGAAGTTTCATTATATGTTTGATGTTTCCTTAGTTGTTAATATACATTTCCCAGTTCTTTACCTATGAATCTTTATTGCTAAGTCCTGGTACTTAGAACAGTTTTCTAGGCAGTAAATATCTGCTCACTGACCAGTAAAGCACCCACATCACTCCATATATTGGTGATAACGGTATTATTTTGTTTGTTTATGTAATTTCTTCTGATGATAAAATATAAGTGTTTGTTATAAAATTTTGAGAAATTAAGAACTTCACCAAAAATAGTAAGAAGTTTCAATTTTTAACATTTTTATTTCTAACTTTCCAGATGTTTTCTGCACCTTTTGAAAAATAAAATTGGATTATTTTTGTATAATATTTCAAAATCTGCTTTTATTTGCCTACAATATTCGTATGTAGGTTTCCATGCCATTAAATATTCTTGCACACATATGGCTGAGTGAATGTGATTTATGGATTTGCTATAACATCTTCACTATCATACTGTTTGTTTTCAAGTTTTTCTGAGGAATCAACTAGTAATTAAATAAAATGAATAAATTTATAATTTTTTTAAAGATTGATTTATTATGCATACAAGAACCGGGGTACAGACCAGAGGCATGGGGGGTGAGAGGATTCAGCAGAGACAGAGTAGGGACCAGAACAGGCAGATTGAAATACACTGCTGAGAGGAGCAACAGGCGAGCCAGGAGAGGTCTGTTGCACCATGTGGGTTGATCCCTGGCTGGGATGGAACTCGTGCTGCAGTGACTGCCGATAGCTTCATAGGTTGCGTCTTAACCCTTGCGCCACCAGGGAGACCCATCTTTTTATGTTATTGAAATACCTTTGCATTATAATGTTATATAAGCTTCAGATGTGATTCACTTTTAGTTTACCACTAAATGTCGAGTTCTATCCTTTTCTATACCATTATCCCCTTTGTCCTGATTTACCCACCTCCTACCTCCTTTCCTCTGGTAACCACTATTGATCTTATGGTACAGTTTTTTTTTGTTTTATTTAGTTCATCTCTTTGCTTTCTCCATATGTCACACATGAGTGGAAACGTGGTGGGCTACCTAGGAATATCGGGAACGTTCTTAAAGCCAAGTTAAAGGGTTTGGCTTGTATCCTGCTGATGATGGAAAACTATTAGATTATGATATATTAAATACACATTTTGTTTTCCTTTAGGGAAACAAGTTCTTGCAATAAAAGTGGTAAAAACATAAAGTTCTGGGACTTCCCTGGTGGTACAGGG